CGATGGACTGGTGACCTGTCCAGGGTGAACCCGCCTCTCACCCGTAGATAGCTGGAGATAGAACACCAGCACCCCTCACCACCTCAGCAGCGATAAGTTTGATGGAAAATGGATGGAAAAACTGTTTCTGACTTAACTATAACATTTAGCAACTCTTCAGCGCTCTGGCAACTTTTGATTTCTAAACGATTTTTGAGTTTTTCGTCTTCAGCGAGCAGTGATGGCTGCCGAATAAAATGACCACTTTTCTTTGGAAGTGTTGCACTAAAATCAATCCTCCCTGCATCTCATTTCCACACGGCCTCCCCCACTGTTCACCTCTGCTGCTGCCTTTAAGCTGACTTTGATGAAATGAGATTCATGTAGTTTAGGAAAAAATATTATTGAAAAATTATTGAATAAAGTAAAATTTTAGTTTTAAACATATTTAGAGTTTTTAAAGCATCTTTCTGTCTTTCCAATGTTGATATTCATCTCTTAACCCTTTAAAGGGCAATCAGTGAAATACTTTGAAAATCCAAACTTCCACCCAATAGAAATATGGATATTTTGATGACAAAAATTAATGTAAATGAAATAACAAAAAAAAGCCAACTTGCCCAAATATATTAAGAAAAATAACAAAAGTGCTTCTATAAGAAATAAATTAAAAACCCTCTGAAAGTGAAAGAAACATGTTTTTTTGGTCCAACATAACGTTAGAGGCATTAATGCTGATACTAGCACTGAATTTTAGTTTATAAACCTAAATATAATAAAGTAAAATAGGCTTACTAACTATACAAAACTACACTTTAAAACTTCTAAAACACTTTTTTTTTCTTGACTTCTTAATTTTTTTTTCCAAACTTAATTTCCAGTAGTTAATAAATGGCTGGATACAGATCTTGTGTTTCTAGACCTCACTGAGGGACGAGGGGGATGCAAGTGATCAGAAACACAAACTTAGCTCATAAAGGGTTAATTGATTAATCTGTAATTTAAAACAAAGCAACTGTTTTAATCTTATAAAGATACAAGTAAACTTTTTAAACATTGTTTTTCTTGGATGCTATCTAACATGTTTGCATCTGCAGGTCTCTTAAAATGATCATTAACTGTAAACTAGATGCGTTTTTGCCATAGAGGATATCTACCAGATGTTTTCTGTATAATAATGTGTGTGGAAGCTGTTCTCACCGTCCTCCTCATTCCAGATCAGGTTTGAGACGCAGAAGGTGGCGGCGAGCTGCAGCTTGACGTTGGAGTGTCCCTGTGGGAACAGCAGGGGGAAACATTCCTCAGCCTCAGTGACTCTACAGCTTCCTGTCAGCTGAAATCCATACAGTTACCTTCAGAAAAACTAAACCACTGTCATTAAATCACAGCAAACTTATTAGCTTTAGGTATAAATAACGATCCATTGATCATTCCCTGCTGACCAGACTTTTCCTTTAACACAACCGAAATAACCGCATTTTCTTAACAGGGATGAAAACCTGATTCCAGACACAGAGACAAAGACAAAGACTGTGTTTGACAATGAAGACCAGAGGGCCACATCTGCTCTGTACCATGTAATATTTAACTTTCTGCAGCATGTCGTCGTTTGTCATGATGAGTTCCTTGGCGGTGTTTCCATCGGCGATGTTAGCCAGGATGCACAGCGTCTAAATGCAAAGGGAAAAGGCAGCGTCAGTGTTTCCGTTCCGATGTAATGGATCCGGTCTGCAGGGCACCATAACCCCCTCTGCACACGCTCACCTGCTCTTTGACCTCTGCACTGTGCTCGGCTTCCAGGATCAGAGTCACTGCCTGCATGATCTGCTTCCCATGAGAGCTCATGATCTGGTCGATGTGCTGAAAACATGAACAGGGAGAACATTCACTTCTTCGGCATGGCCCAAACCCAGTGAACCCAGCATGAACTGGATCCCTGCTAGAAACCCAGCAGCTCTGCAACCTTCACAATCCAAACACCTTCTTTCCTCAGTCCAGCTGATTAAAACTTACTTAGAGCTGCAAATCAGTTTCTAGATAAATTACAATTTTAGAGAAAAATCTACGCGACAAAATGTGTTTTATTCATTGAAGAATGTTCCGTTGTTTACTTTTTTGTTTAAAAATAAAACCAAAAATGTTTTCTATGGGAAGTAGACATTAGTGGAAAATGATGAACCACAGGATAAAGAATAATACAGTAGCAGCCATTCGAAGTGGCTCTTCCCAGCCACTGACCCCCTCCTGCATATTCTTTTACTCTGACTCCACCCTTGCACTGAATTACAGGCTCTGACCAGGAGATGGCGCTTCTCTTAACACGCTAATGTCCACAAATCTTGACAGAAAGAATATTTTAGTACAAAGATTGATGTTTAAAAAGGAATTGAAGGGGGCCAGCCAAGGACCAATCAAGGAAAGTGGGGAAAGTTTGAACGGCTACTTCTGTTCTGCTGGAGGTTTCTTCCTGTTCAAAGGGAGTTTTTCCTCTCCACTGTCGCTACAAGCATGCTTAGTGTGAGGGATTGC